ACACTCTCACGGGAGCCCGTTTAACCGCCGGTCGACGCCGCGCGTCGCGTTATTTAGCGCCAACGCAGAAATGTTGCCTATCACTAGCCGACCGAAATTTCAATTTTTGCGAGTCTGCCAACATGATATCAAATGTATTCGGCATCGGGCAACGCATTCTGGACCATATTTAGGTCGATTTTAGTTCGCTCTAATCGTGGAATCGCTTAGTTCTTTCAAAAGAGAGATAGATTGGACGGGCCGAAAGTAATGACCCCGTTATTTTTTTATTGGATTTGCATACAGATTTACATATATATTACGGACATCTCTCTCTTCGGGCTCTCTTTGAGAAGACGCAAAAAAGTCAATTCTTTTCAAAATTAGCAACCTACTGTTCCCCTTAATGAGGGAATAGCTACGAATCCGACGAGCCAATTGGTATTGTAATTTATCACGTGGTGCGTGTTCGCGTTGCGATTACACACGAAAATGAGACTAGACAGAGATGGACCGTATCTTTCCACGATGGGTGGCTTACACGATAGAACCAAATAGACAGCGAATGGTCGTTTCGCACATTCAACAGGTTAATTTCCCTTCTCCACGGGTTTCTCTCCTTGCAGAATGGAGACCTCGGTGTATCCGTCACCGGGGATCCATGTATCGTCACGGGCAGTCGCCCCGTCCTGTGTCATCGGGCACAATGAAATGAAAAATAACGAGCGGGGTCAGGTTAAAAGTTACACTGCCTAAGTCAGGGACGTAGGATTCGATGCAGAAAATCGTGATACGTCGTACGAGAAGCGATCCAGAAATCTATGTTGCGCATCGTTCATGCGCGATACGAAACGCACCAGTCGGACTCGTTGAATATTCGTTGACACTTTAGAGATTCATAACGAAACGATATATCAGGGACTTGCAAGAGTTGTTTATCTTTTTAGCCACTTTTTGTCTTTTATTAATAGTAACGAAACTTCAGAACAGAAGCTTCAATAATGCCTCCACATTTATCCAGTTAATCCATCCTTATCATTAATCCTTCTAAAAACGTTTCCATTGTCGGGATATAATGATACTATATGATATATGTCAAACTGTCACAATGGCAGATCAGCCGAACAATCATCTTTTAAGCAATTATTTGATTCTGCGTCCGTAAGATCATTCATCTCTCCAGCCAATGAAATAATCAACGATCCGATAAGTTTTTGCAGACTCCCCTAATAGCTTGTAATCTAATCAAGTCATATGTAATCTCTAATCTATTTTCATCTCTCATTATTCCATTTGTTATTATTTCTTATCTACTCCATCGAGCGGACCAGATCCTTCCACGAGCAGGAACACATTCTTCTTCCGCGTGGAAGAAGAAACGCCGGCGAGATACCGGCGAAATTTCCTCCAGTTATCGTTGCGGCAATTATCGTTGCAGCACATAGCTAAAAATGGGCAAACGACCTATTGGATTTCGCTCGACAGGCCCGTCCCTGTCTTACATGCGTCGCCTGTGCTTGTGCTCGGCGATACGAAGGATTCCGCCAAGTCGATTCCACCATGGACAGAGGCGTCGGCCCGACCTGGGTGGTCTCCGTCCTACGCAAACAGAGCGCACGTAGAGTCGACGCGTCTCCCGTCCCGACCTTCCCGGCGACCCGGCGTCGGGAAATTTACTGACTTTCCGGATTTCAAGAGTGCGGTCGGCCGGCGGCACGTACAATAGCGGTTCACGGCCTGATTCATCCCACTGAATTCGTAGACCGCCTGTTTGCGGCATACGCCAGGCTTTTACGGTCGTTTAACTGCCCCCGAATCGAATCGCAGCAGCTATCTGCGGCACAAGGTGCCAGTGAAGTCTCAATCCATTTCCCATGAAAACGTCTTCATCCGCAGTGCGAGTGCGGAGAGCGGTGCGCGGATTTCCGATCGCCGCGCGCGATCTCGGACACGGTCACGTAAAATCGTCCCGAGCAAATCGCGCGGAAATACCCTCTCTGTGGAGAGTTCCTCCGATTTGCGCGTAGCTCTTGAAAGAGAGAGAGAGAGGGAGAGAGAGAGAAGCGAAACACGGCGCGCCGGCTACAAATCCTTCGGAGAGCTACGGATTTACGATTTTAATTCGGGATAGTCACCGAGATGAGTCCGAGTCAGGATCCGTGCCATGTATCCTGACCATATTGCTTTTCATTATGGCCCGCGGTGTGCCTCCGGACCACCGACGTCGCTGCAATTAGTAAGTCGGATATCCTCCTCTTCTCCGACTCTTTCCCTCCTTTTTTCTTTCCTTCATTTCTGCCTCTTTTTTTTTTTCTTAGTTTCGACCGAACGGAGAGAAATAGTAATAGTAACGAGGCCGGATTAATAATCGTAAATTCACATCCGCCGATAAACAAACAATCGGCCGAACGACGAATACCAAGCGATACTTCGAAGCGATTAATTGTTAACGGACAGACAGTAAACCTCCCAATTAGTCCCGTATCTCGTGATCGTATAGTCGCGTTGCAGTCGTTCGTTTCGATATCGAGGGCGAATACGGATCAAATGCGGATTTGTTTTTATTTCAACGAACACGCGCTACGGGGCGCATCGCTGCGCGGCGTTGTTGCTCGGTACATCGCGCGCGCCTGAACGTATGCAATGCAACGTGCATCCGTGCGCCGTCGAGAAGGTGGTTCCACAGGCGAGCGAGGCGCGCGCTGACTCATCCGCTATCTCGCTCTCGCACTCATTAAGCCGATACGGCGTCGGCGAAGATCAAAGCTCGTCTCCTACGGAGGACCGCTTAATACCGGGTGGCGAGTTAAGAGTGTCGTAAAAATTATTAACGGTTCCCCAGCGCGTACACGCTCTCTCTCTCTCTCTCTCTCTGTTATCGTCGATCGATGGCGACCGCGTCGTGGGGTGCATTCGTCAAAGAGGACAATACGCAAAGATCGCTTCTTCATCTTCATCCTTCCCCTCCGATCGTTTGGTGCATTTTATTATTATTTTTTTCTCTTTCTTTTTACCAAGAACTCAGCAACGGCTGCAACGCATTCGTTCGTACGCGCGTCCGCAAAAATCGCGGACGTGAAGGTACTAATGAAATTGCGTCGTTACGCGGATATTACGACGACAATTTAATGCGTTAATCGCGCGCGGCTCGCGACGCTCGCCCGCGGTGGCGCGCGACTTAACGAACGGGCATGAGAGAGAACAGTCGCCCTCCTCTCTCACTCAAGCGTTCGAAAGCTTAACCATGCGGATTCGAATGAACGCGGGCAAAAAAGCGCACGTACAGAGAAGTCAGTCACGAGCTCGAGATAAATATTACCGTATCGCTGCGTTCGGCGTATAAATGCGATCGATCGATCGATCGATCGACTGTCCGGTTCGTACGGTCAGTCATTAAAAGATTGCAACATTTGTTTTTCGAGATGAGTTTCGCAACGCATCTCGTGTCCAATAGGAAAATGCATCTCCTGAGAATTATTAAAAAATATATTCCTCTATTGGACGCTAGGTGTGTCCTCCGAAACTTATGAAAAACAGTGTTGCAACCTTCTTGCGACTGACCATACACGCTTTTTGCCGGTCACTTCGAATCGAACGTGTCTGTCAGAGTCTGGCAGAGAGATTTTGCTCTAATCAAATTTGGACATCCAGTGTCGCAGGTAGAACAGAAAATGAAAATAACGTCAAAATGATGAAAAAATAATCAAAAAATGAGTTTTATAGTCATTTTCTCGTCTTGATATCATATTTTTACATTATTTTGATATCATTGTTATTTTCTATCTTATCTGGGGTTCGATAAAAAAATGTATCTTCTAAATTTTATTAAAAATCAAATCCTCTACTAGATACGAGCGAAAGTTAGAAAAATCATTGAAAAAAGTGTTGCGGCTTTTCCACCACTGAATATATCTTTGTCCTTCCAAGAACCAAACTTACAAAAAATATATATTAATAATAAAATAACATTATATCAGAGCATTAACAAATTTAACATACCAATGTGTCATTTGCGCTGGTAGAGAGGAAGATCAAAGAGAGGAAGCACGAGCAATTAATTTGTGCTGTATTGCCGGGAGGCAAAAAAAATATGTAGCCGCCGAATTGTCCGGAGATAATACATATTTTTTCATATCATATAAAAAACACAGTATCGTCCGGTTCAACTATAAGAACGAAAAAGTCCATCTTCGCTCGCCTAGGCACCACTGCGCGCCGGCGATTCGCGCGGGTAGCGCAGCTGCGCGCATCGTGTGTGTCGCGCGCGTCTCGGTGTGGGTAATGTTTTTGCTCCGGGGGAAATAGGAACGCGTGTGTGGTCTAGAGTCGACTCCCCTCGCTAGTCCCCGGGTATCCTAGCAACGCGGAACGCCAAGGCGCCTCCGCCAATCCTCTCCGAGTTCCCGACACTTCGGTTCTCCTCGGCTGCGCTCGGCTCACGTCACCATCCAGCGCAGTGGCGCATCGATCGACGGCGATTCGCGCGCGAAATTGGGGCTCCACGATCGATCGATCGATCGATCGAACAGGTCGCGTCAAAATTTCGTGTCACAGACACGACACGATATCAAGGTCGGATTTTGTCCAGCGTGCCGGATTGTGGACGATCGACCGGCACCGCGAGAACGAACGTTGTCGGCGCGCGCATTCGCCAAACGACAAAGTTAGCTGGAATCGCGTCGGCCGCGGGCCCACGCGCATACGCGCCTGAATGTTTGCGCAGTCGATCCCCGTAGTGCGCGACCCGGAGAGAGGGAAAGCCGTCAACTATGGCCGGCGCGGCAGGCAGGCTACGGGAGAAATGTGGCAGCGGGTTTCGCTTAGTACCGACTTAGACTGCTCTAAGTGGCGGTCGTGTGCACGCTCGCGCCCGTCGTCGCATCCTCTCGCACGAGCTATCGGGACGTCAGATCGGAACCTGTGCGGAACACGGCCGGCGGGGAACATACGCGGCTCGCACAGCCGACGAGCGACGACAAGGACGACGACGGTAACAACAACAACAACAACGACGACAGCGACGACGATCGGTGGTGACAGTGGTGACAAGCCGACCGCGGCGGTGAGCAACTGGCCCAGGTCGGCATTCCGGCGGAGACTGCTACTGCTCACGGCGTCGCACGTGATTGATCGCCGTGCGATTCACGCGGGAAAAAAATCGCGCCACATCGCTGTCGTCGCGTTCTCGCTCCCTTGTCAACGGAGCGAGAGGGAGAGAGAGAGAAAAGGTGCGAGAGCCCGCCGGGGCAGACGTATTTACGTTACGGGTAACCTAAAAACCGATCTCGGCGCAGCGTGATATCGGTAGGACGCGCGCGCATGCGCGTCGCGGCGGCTAGCTCTCGTGCGCGAATTTCAAGCGAGGCGAGCGGGGTCACGTGTTGCGTACGCGAGACGCGGACAGTGTTGGTGAAGAAGTGCCTCCCGAGGGGAAAAGTGCTACGATTTTGCCGGGCAGTGAGTGCGAGGCTACGCGTTTCCGCGGATCGGCCGGGAGTTCGCGACATCGAGAGCTGGAGAGAGGCTACCACGGAGATAATTCGCCCCGAGAGAAAGAGAGAGAGAGATCGATGAGAAACTAACGATCAGAGCCCGTGAAAACGAGGGGGAAGGTGATTGAGCGAGCGAGCAAACAGCCATTTCGCTAAGTAGTAACCGCGCACGCGGGCGAATGCATGACGGATCATGGTTTCCGCGTCCGGTCCCATATCCACGGGGATCCTAGCGGGACGCCCTTCTGGATCGCAGGGCCCGCGGCAGAGTTGCGGCGCGGAGTGCGAGAAGGACGCGCAGGCGGCGAAGAGCGCCAAGAGCCGGCACGAGTCGGACCTCTACGTCAGGCCCAGCTGGACGGATGCCGCGATAGCGTTGGATCAACTCGAGAAAGTGAGTAGTACGCATGGGCTCTTTAATCCCCGTCGTCTCGTTCCCGCGGAGCTCGTATCAGCCGTCGAAGATCGAGACTCGCGAATTCGAAATCGGAGACTAGAATTCACTTCAGAGGTGTCTAATTGGAGATTCTTAACTCTTGATTAGATGTTAGAATCAATTAGTTTTGATCTTGGCTCGTTTTGTCCACGATTGATCAAAAGATTACGGCCCTACTAATTTTAGGAATTTCTAATTAGAGAGACATCTTAATCGTTGATTAGAGATTAGGATCAACTAGTTTCGATCTTGGCTCGTTTTGTCTCAATTAATCAAGTTCCAATCTTCGATCCGCGATCCCTATAATCTCCGACATTTAATCTGACACGTGGTCTGTCTTTTATAGCTAAACTGGATGCACGAATTCAAGAAATTTATATACACATTGAAGCATATGGCAAAAATATAACAAGATTCTCATATTTCAATGTGCTTAAATTTCTTTAACTAATGTATCTAATTTAGCTATAAAGAACAGGACCATGAGCTCAATGTGACTTAATACTAATTAGTGAATCGTTCTACCCTGCAAAATGTTCCTTTCGGGAGCCAATTGTTATGCCACGCATTATGTTACATTGATTACGTTGATATGACAAGATTAATTAAAACTAGATTGAACGATTTCGCTGTTAGCGATTTCTCATCGCGAGAAATCGCGATCCGTATTCATCGCGCCAGAACAGATTATAGCGACGTCATTAATTGGCATTCGGCAATTAAAACAGACCCTCCGGATATCGAGATAAATGTGTGAATCAACGATGCAAATTGTATCGCCCGTTCACGATAACGACGTCGTTATCTCCTACCGGGGAATCGCACTATCTTCGATCAGCGATTAATGAGACACACGTTAACGATCGGAAAGCTCGTTTAATCCGAATAGTTTGGGTCATTTAGACCCGAAATAAAAGTCGCTATTATTAACAAAATATAGCATAATATCGTTTGCTCTATGATTTATTATTATTTACGGACATTATAAATATAGATGTACCCTCTATGAAAAAAAAAATGAGGAGAAACCAAACAAATATTTGAGAAACGGGATAAGCACATCAAGTATTCGTGATTAAGGCAATGGTAATGGCTCTCGCCGACTTTCGGCGGATGGCTTTGAAAACAACACCAGTGACAGCTCGACAGTTCATCGTCGGCTTTACAAAGCGCCGTCCCAGTAGAAAAAAACTGATAGCTCTATTGTCGTGGGAAACTCGAACATGATCTCATCCGAATGACCGACCAACCGATCGGTTTGGACGTTTCAAACAAAACTCACATGGGACTGCTGTTCATCACGCTTGTCTCCCGAGCTTCTGTAGCGCTCCGACCGCAGCTTCAGAGACTAACCGTGAACTTTCACATAGGCGGGTGGTCCTCCAAAGCGTGTTTTTTATTAGACTCGAAAAGTAAGAGCCTGAGGTCGTGTAGATCGACTTCCTGGCGGAGTTGACAGCGGTCAGGAACGCGCCGAACGCGTCCATCCTCGCGTTTCTATAAGTAAAGGGATCCTCTCAGGATCTGTCGCGCGGGGCCTCGTCAGATCGGCCTCGCGAGATTCTTTCCCTCGAACGAAAATGTGTGTGCCGCGCGAGCCGGATGGCGAGTATCTCTCGCCTCCTTGAGAGGGAGATGAAGAGAAAGATAGAGAAAGAGAGAGAGAGAAAGAGCACGAACGTCCACTTTGAATATGACACGATCTGCGAGTAGCGACGTTTCCTCCTTCCATCCATCGATCGTTTGCAATCGGGCCATCTCTCTCTCTCTCTCTGATCGCGAAATCACTCCGTCTCACCTCTATCTCGTATTCATCCGCTGCGAAATTGCGTGCGTATAAAAAAAAGCAGCACGACGTGTTGAGTCCGCGTGTGGTGGTTCATGCTATTTTCAATCGCGTTTCAACTCCGTATCTGTCCCCCCTCCCCAGCCGATGGTCCGGAGAAACTCGCGCATACCCACCCCTCGTATAATAAGAGACGAAGCGAGGCGAGCGGCGGCGGCAGGCCTCGCGAACTTTTTGCTCGCGATAGTCACGCTGGGTGGTCGCTCGCCGAGCGATTTCCACATCGCGGATCTGAGCTCGTATACCCGCGGCTTGTCGTCCCGTCGTTGAGATCAAGGAAGTGATCGTGTGTCCGCCGCGCTTGACTTTTCTTCGTCGGATCACCCGGGAAAAAGAGAGAGAGAGAGAGAGAGAGAGCACATCTCCGTGCCCGGTCGTATTCTGGACACAGAGCAAACGCTAAATACGCCTTTCTGATTCTCAAGCTGAAGCTGCGTTGTACGTGACGCTCGTATACGAAAAATAAAATGGCACTTGGGGTCAGAAGGGCGCACTTGTCATTCGCTTTGCACCCCTGATGAGGCACCTGAAGGCACGTTTCTTCTCGGTGATCCTCGTGCGAGCCGCGATTGCGGGAGATTAGATCGCGAAGCGACACTCTCGATGCGCTTTGCGATTGCACAATCGCTTAGTATATCCAGGAGATGGGAGGAGAGAGGTGGGTGACAGCCGGCGAAGGGCAAAAAGACCGAATTCGAGGTCGATGCTCCACTTTTCTTCTCGACCGGGCGGCTCGCCGTAGAGGAGGCTCTTCTTCGTGCTTCGCGTTTATGCCGAATGAGTCAGTGAGTCAGTGGCCCCGGCCTCCACAAGGCGAGAGCGTGCGTTGCGTGCGTGCGTTGCGCACGTGTGTGTATGTATGTGGTAGAAATGCATGCATACGCGTCTCTTTTTTTCCTTCTCCCTCTTCCCCCCTCCTCCTCCTCCTCCACGCGAAGAAGGGAGGCTGACTCGCGAGGATTTATACGCGGGATGATAATGGAACGTGATGAATTAGTTTCGTTTGTGCGCTCGTCGGTATATCGAGGGGGTGTCGTGTGCGCGCGCGTATGTTGCGTGTGGTCGTTTACGACCAACGGGCGTTAATCTCCTCCTCGCGCATTTTTTCATCAAAAAGGAGAAGGATGCGATCGGTCGATTTTTACGTTGTTATCGTGCGCGTTAATCTCCTCCCCGCGCGGCGACATAAATCGGAGCAATTTGTTCAATAAGCTGTGTCTTTGCTGGTCTATGCGAGTATTCGATAATGCAATGATACTTTAACGCTCTTTATCACGAAGAGAAGAAAAGGAGGGGAGAGAGGGGGGGGAGATGACGAGGCCAGTACCCGCGCGCTCCACGGCTGCGGGTTGACCCTGATGAACGTAAACAAATTGGAGTAAACGAACTCTGCCGTCGCGCGTGTGCGTAATGCGACGATGATAACGGATCTGTGTATTCTGCAAAGCTCTGCGCGGCCGCACACGCATACGTGCATGGCGCAAGGCCAAGGTTAATCCGACGATCGAGAGCTGCTACACTCTCCATGAGAATAAATCAATTTCAGCGCGATCGCGGCAGCGAGATTCGCCGGACCGTTCCGGTGAGAGCGAAAACTACTCTACCGTGTTTTCGGACATATGACCACTCGAACCTGCAACGATGTGTCCCATTATTGAGAACAGATGTCACAATAGCCTCGAAACTGGAGGAAGAGAGGGGGGCGTTGACGATTAACCCTGACAATAACACGTTAGACCTACAAGGTCTACACGCATTTTCTTTCGCTTATCCTTTCTTCCACGTTTTGTAACAAGAAGTTACAGCCTATTCCTATTCCTTTATTAGTCAGAAAAAAAGCGGGGTCCGTGTAACCAATGCTATTGCCAGATCTAATGAGATAACTAGTTTCTTGGTGGCAACCAGTTTACAAAGACAATAAATAAAAATTGGTAGTAAACTTAACTCTGGAGTAGTCGTGTGGATGACAACTGTCCTCCGTTTAAGACATTTCCAATAAAAAAAATCGCTCTAGGAAGTAATATTTTTCTTATATGGAAACTGTAATAAAAGATTTTATTTAAAACGAACGAGAGCAACTTCTAACTGACAGATACACGAAGTAACAAAATAAATGCTTGTTAATATTTTTCGGAAGATTCATTTAAATGCGCATAAATGACACCTGTCATCCGCACTATTTCGGCTTTAATGATACATAAAAGACCCATAAAATGCAAAACACCGAATCTCACAATTTTCCTCGTGATGCCTGTGAAATCTATGATGCGTGTGTTGCTGTCTTATTCCCAGAGTTATCGCGTCGATAAATAAAATGTTGAACGGCAAATGAAACCTCCTAGATACCGCGGTCGCGAGGATCTGTTTAGTTTATCTGTCGGTTGTGTGCCCGAGGGGACATTCGGTGGTCCCGAGACACATACGCAGACACGGGCGCTTCCACGAGTCGCCGTAAAGGCGGTGTGCCCGCACTGCCCCTCTCCGCGCATCGCCGCTCTCTTGTGAGTATTATTAGTGTGGAAGTCCCTCGCACACGTAGCGTCGGCGCCCTTTAATCTCACTCTCACACGTACGCATGCGGGCGCGTGAGCAAAGGACGATTATGTGCGTGAATGTCCGGTGGTGGTGTATTGTGGGCCGCACCGCCGCGATGACGACGGTTTTCAGCTGCCAGAAATGAAGACACGATTATGGGGATAGTGTGCGTTCGTATGCTATTTCGTGCCGCTGGAATTCAGCGTTTATCTTCGCTCGTGATCTTCATCTCGAGTTCTTCGCACTCGACGGATTTCCTGAATCGTAAACGTCGCGTTCGGCTCGACGTGTCGCGGGGATATTAATTATTATTATCATACATGTATCCTTCAGAAAAGAAATCTAAATTGCTCGGATGATCTTCCGGTAAAATTAAGGTCGCGATTTCTGAAACATCCTATATTGTTTATAGATATTCTTTAATTAATGTATCTTATATAGCAATTAAAAAAGACATATCTTTCGTTAATTAAAGATCTTTTAATTTAATTTAATTAACGAAGATATATCTCTTAATTAAATTATCAAAATAACTACACGGCTATTTAGCATCAGACGAGGTGTCGACTGAACCGCG